TGGAATCTCAGGTAAGGCTCCAGTAATTCTCCTAAGCCCCTCTTCTGCGAGGGAAAGTCAACAATCAGCAGGCCTAATGGTGACAGGTGCCTTACAAGCAGGGACAGCAGATCTGATGAACCAAAGGAATTGCTTGGAGGTCCAAGATCTACATCTACTAAGGAGGGACCCATGAAGGCCCATGCCTCCCGAAGGGACTATTAGTTAACAAGCTCTTCCTGGGAAAGGGGAGGCCATTCTTCAATGTGTAGCCATTGATAAGTTGTTGGTGCTACAGTAAAAAACCTCTTAACCACGCTGTACAAGCACCTCGGTGAGGAGGGATACGTGAAGGTAGGAGGGAGAAGAGGGTTTTTTGGGGGAGGGATAAGAAAGGGGAATGGGATCAAATTGACTAAAATGTGTTATATAAATTATGAAACAAAGAGTAAAAAAGGGGAGAAAAATGAAAGATAGAAAACCAAACAGCATGCACCACCAAACAAACAAATAAGAACGAGCCGCAGGCAAGCGACCCTGCTCACAGCAGCCAGATGGGGTACCTCGTTAACGTGGCTGTCTTTTTCACATCCTTTCTAAGTAAGAAATGCTTTGGCCTTTAGTGTTTAGGAATTGGAAGAGGTCAGTGTAAACAGTAGGAAACTCCCTAGGCAGAGTCCCTTGGATTTCAAAGAGCATCTGAAACACCTACAGCTAGTAGCTAGCTCAGGCTGGTCCCCAGGTTTTCTAAATGACACAGAAAACATGGGAGGAAGGTGTGATCGTTTCACCAGAGAAGAAAGAGGTAAAGGAACGTGTACGAATGTGCTCTTGGTGATTTTCTCTGCCCTGTGGTGCTCAGTCTTGCTTCTTGGTCTGCAGTGATGGAGAGGCAGTTTAGGAAGTCAACCTGCTCGTTACCCCGAAGAGCTCAAAAGTGAAAGAAATAATGTCCCCGCTGGGGAGGGCAGTGGAAGTGTCCTGTTGTGGGCCAGGGGCCTCCCGAGAGCAATTTGCTCTCCAGGAGGAAGTCACTTTGGGTTCCAAGCCTTGCCTGTCATCATAGCAGCTGGGGAGCAATTCACCCGGATAATCTCCCTCTTCCACCACCCCTGGTTTTGGCAGAAAGAACAGAAGGGTGCGGGGATAATTGTGTGTATGTCCCCAATTTAGGGACCACAAAGAAGTTACCACCACGGCCAGAGTTCAGGGCCTGTGCCAGCAAGGACTGCCCAGGACCCTGGCTTCTTAGGTTTTCACCAGCTTTTTCTCCAATACCTGAATCTGGTGTAATTAGCAGAGGGAGAGTAACATGGTAAATGACCAAGACACCAGCAAAGCAGCAAAGCTGGTGTCTGCCTGGTTCCCTCTTTCAAACAACCATTTCAGCTGACAGATACAGGAGAAAAGAGGCAGAACTGTGAGATCGTGAGCTTCTCTCTCCTCTTAGGTGAGGAATGGCTGTGGTTCTGCTGGGTTGGATGGAGGGATGCAATTCTTGGTATAGAGTGAAGTTCTGAGCCCAGCAGCCCATGGCCTGAGGTGAGACTGATATAAGAAGCACAGGTGGGTGTGGGGGAGAAGGACCATGATTATCAGTACCCTGACTTTTTTTTTTTTACATGCTTTGTGGGTCACAAGGAAAACAATAGGACAGTCTCTTCATTGTTAAATTTATAACCCATGGCTTTTGAACTTTTGGAAAATGGAAAAAGGCTTAAAATCCTCTACAGCTCTGATGCTGGACATCTTGTATGGGTGTTGAGATTAATTAAACTAAAGGCAGCACATGGGATTGAAGTGGGCAAAGATGCAATCAAACATGTGCTTGTGGAGCTCTCCCGAGGAAAGAGCCAGTGGCCAGTGGGCTGTGTGGGTGTCCTTTGCCTGCTTCACACATTACCCCACTTGGTTACAATTCTCTCTCTCATTAAAGTGCTAGATGCCTTTAAAATATTTCAGTCCTGTTAGATAAGAAAAAATGATGGTACTCTCAGAAATACCAAATTTCAAGATGATGGAATGTAGCATGATTAATAAAAGCTCAGAGTCAGAAATTGGGGTTCAGCCTGAAGAGCCAAAAAGCAAAACAGCCAGCCACTGACTCTTACCTTAACCTCAGTCTGAAATGGCCATCCTGCCTCCAGGAATCTCAGAATTAGACTGTGTGTTGAGAGCTGTTTCCTCCCGTTTTATAATCCTCTCTAGGACTGGGATTAAAGGTGCGCACCACCATGATTAAAGGCATGTACTGCCCAGTTTCTATGGCAACTAGTGTGGTTACTGGGATTAAAGGTGTGTGTTACCATTACCTGGTCTGTAAAATTGACCAGTGGGGCTGTTTTACTCTCAGATCTTCAAGCAGGCTTTATTTATTAAAAAACAATTGAAATGCTACTACAATGGAATTTTGTCCAAAATAGGGCAAAGAACAAGCCTTCAGGACTGGTTGTATCGCTACCCAACCACGTCACTCTGCAACTCAAGCAGGCTCTGTTTGCTTTGTCAAGAGTTTATCAAATGAGCTTATCCTGTGGCTGGTTCTGGAGGATGCAGACTGGCTACCATCAGAAACTTGAATGGCTCACATTCGCTTCTATATATATGGGAGGGGGAGGGAGGAAGGAGGGAGGGAAGAGGAGAGAGAGGAGAGGGAGGAAAGAGAGGGTGTGGAGGGAGAGAAGGGAGGGAGGAGAAGGAGGAAGAGAGGTAGGGAGAAAGAGAAGAGAAGAGAGAGAATCTTTAATCTGTGAGTTACAGGATCACATTAACCTGCTGGGTCAATGTTCTCTTGCCCTGCCTGTGGCTGGTCTCTCTTTCCTCCTGTAGAGAACACCTGGGCTTCCTGCAGGGGAGCTTCCCATGAAGCTTTTTGTTCCACAAAGATGTGTGGAAACCTCTTGGCCACCTGGCTTCTGGTGCTGCCCTGGGAAGTGGCTAGTAACTGTGGCCCTAGCTCTCACTCCTTCAGCCCGGGAACAGTGAGTGCTTTGGTGGCCTTCCAATTCAACAACAGCAGGCTTTGTAGTGCTGATGTATCCTTTGCACCTCCAGCCCTGGGCTGGGATTTTGTGGTATCTAGACTTCACTGTTTTCCATCTCTCCCCACTTAACAGTCTTGGAACCATTTGATGGCTACAGAAGCTTTGTCCTGTTTTGCAGGGAGGCTGACTCATATACGAAGTCAATGTAGGCCACAGGCTCTCTTGTAGAACAAAAATAAGAAACCATTCTAGTCTCTCTGTGCATTTTTAGACCATTCAGGACCCACTTCTCTGAAACAGTTTTATCTGTGCCACAGGGGAAGAGGGAGATTCCTGAATTAAGTGGGAATTCTGATTAAGGAAGAAAGCAAGACTCGGGTCTAGGTGGGTAATCAAAAGTGTTCCGGAGACCCGGCAGGCAGGAGAGCTGCCCAAGGCAACGGCATTTGAAATACTTAGCACAGCAAAAGCATCGGAAAGGGAGACCGCCGGGGGCCGGCGCTGGGATCCAAGTCTGGATGTCTCAATGTTCACTGTCGATGTGTGAACAACAGCTTGGAGCACCAGATGTGAGAGCTCAGGCTGGAGCTGCCGGAGTCGCCAGCTCTGACGGGCTGGTGATTCACCAAGAGGGTCCATTCCTTTCCATTTCTTCGCCTCCTGGAGCGGCCCGGTTTTAGCTGTGCCGAACCTGCGCTTGAGCGCGTGCGTGCGCGCGCGCGCATGTGCAGCTCCCAACCGCATTAGCTCCTATAAAGTTTGTAGACCTCGTTAGTGTCAGCAGTCCCATCGCTGTCATTAAAACTGGGTTGAACAAAACTCTGTCGCTCAATGATGCTAAGATTCTTTCTTTGTCTACATGACAGGATTGATCCAAGGCTTGGGTTAGCCACAGTCTTATTGATTCCAATGTTTGTGACTAACTTAGCAGAAAGACTCTAAAGCAATACTGCTTGGCCAGGGTTACAACCTGCCGCTTAATATTTTTCTTTAGTAATGAGATAGATTTGATATCTGTTGTGTTTAAGACAATCTAAGCCAAGAACAGAATCGAAAGTGGTTTTCAAAGAAGTACTCTAAGTGCTAAGTTTTGGGTCATCCTCCAGACCCTGTTTTATGATATATAGTCAACCTGAGTCATCTGAGAAGAGGGAGCCTCAGATGGGGAAATGCCTCTGTAAGACAGAGCTGGAGTCAGGTAAGCCTGGAAACCTTTTCTTAATTAGTGATGGCTGTGGGAGGGCCCAGCTCACTGTAGGTGGAACCATCCCTGGGCTAGTGGTCCTGAGTTCTATAAAAAAAAGAAAAGCAGGCTGAGTTGATGGACAAGCCATTAAGCAACACTCCTCCATGGCTTCTGCATCAGCTCCTGCCTCCAGGTTCCTGTCCTGTGTGTGTTCCTGTCCTGACTTCCTTTAATAATGAACTATAATGTGGAAGCGTAAGCCCAATAAACTCCTTCCCCCAGCTTGGATTTTGGCCGTGTTGTTTCATCACAGCAGAGACAACCCTCGACTAAGACAGACCCCTCACAGAGATCTCTTCCCAGGCATCCCTGCTTCAATCCTGCCCTCTTCTCTCCCTCCTCATTGACAGCCTCAGACAGTGGCATGAGATTAAGTAGCTCATCATGGATGCCTTAATTACTGACGAGCATCTCATTGTGTTAACCCCTTCAGCTATTCCGGTGGGATGGAATGGGAGAAGAGAAGACGGTATGGGGTATGGACGCTGCTGGTGGTTAGTTAACTCAAGTGGAAGGATCTAGCTTTCTGCCCTCCCACAGATGTGACTATCTCATAGCTTTTTCCAGCCCTCATCTGGCCTATGACAAGGGTGAATGAGGACAGTTTCAAGGGACTCTAGTTGGTACCACTTAGAAATGGCCACGGTGCTGTGCTGATGAACAAGCATAGGCAAGGGAAATGCAATTATCAGAAGGCTGTGGACAGTGTGACCATAATGCTTCTGAGATATTATTGGTCACTAGGATCGCTGGAACTAAATTAGGCCTTAACTAAACAATACAGTGTGTTCTGGAGCCTGGAGTCTATGGATTCCATCTCCACAACATAATGAAGTGCTTTGAAAGCTACCTTATCTGATTAAGAGCTACATACATCTATTAACTCAGTGTTCATGGTCCACAGCACTTAGGAGAATGTGCAGAAGAATCAAGTCCTATCAATCATGGTCAAACCATCTCTCACGACTACAGCACAGGGCAAAACATCTCTTTCGTTTCTCTTGGATTCATTTCAGACACAACTGAGTCATCCTTATAAAGGTTCTGGAAGCCTCATGCCCCTTCTACCCCCACTCCTTCCTCTACAAAGCTGCCTCCATCCTGTAGGTACCCTAACAGGTAAGCTTAGAGACTGAAAACTGACCACATTCGATTCCAAGTGTCCCCTTAGTCTGCAGCACAATTACAAGACAAATAAGCTTTTGTACCTCTGCTCTCAGCTCTTTTTGTTAACGTCTGTGGTGCCTATTGGGATACCCTCCATGTCAAGGTGAGGGTGGGGAGGACCAGGCAGTCAAAGAGCTCTTAACTGTGTGCCACGGATGTCCTAGACCAGGACTGTGGGGGTCTGGAGCAGCATTCAACTGTTCTGAAACCCGTGGGGAGGAGACAAAAATGCTTGAAAATGCACAGTTCCTGATGGAGTCGGGAAAAGGGCAGGCTGTGTTAGTGGGAGTGTCTGCGTAGTCCACGTTGTGGGTGGTGGTGTGGAGTCCAGCCGTCCTACCTGTGCATTGCAAGAGCTCTTTGTAGCTGAAGAGTGTGCACAGCTTTAATCTGTAGCCAGCTTCTCTCTATCTTTAAAATCCTTAGGTTTTCTTTCCATGGATTTCTATTTATACGCACGCTTAGGAAGAGAAAGATTTGTTCCTCTAAGCCATTTATATCACAGAACCTAAAATTCAGATAGTGCTACATGATATATGATTGTAAAAAAAAAAAAGGAAGAATATGACTGTTCTTGGGTATAGTGAAGGAGAAAGTTATTGTCGCTATGTGGAGAGTATAGCCAGAGGCGGGAACATCTGTGGATATGTGGAGAGTATAGCCAGAGGTGGGAACATCTGTGGATATGTGGAGAGTATAGCCAGAGGCGGGAACATCTGTGGATATGTGGAGAGTATAGCCAGAGACGGGAACATCTGTAGGTATGTGGGGAGTATAGCCAGAGGCGGGAACATCTGTAGGTATGTGGGGAGTATAGCCAGAGGCGGGAACATCTGTGGATATGTGGAGAGTATAGCCAGAGGCGGGAACATCTGTGGATATGTGGGGAGTATAGCCAGAGACAGGAACATCTGTGGATATGTGGG